ATAAAAATAGTCCAGAAGACAGCCAACCCATTAAAATGGAACAGCAGCCATGCATTTCTTTGCTTCTATTATTTTGGTAGTTTTACAACATACTAAACATTTTCTCTTTATGGCTGCCATTTGATAAATCCACTCCAATAAAATATCCAAGTTATTTTACACAAACACCTCTCATGTATCATCAAATAAGAGAAAAATATTTAATTTCTTTCAACGCCTACTTTTAGAAACACAAACACATTCCAATCCTTTGCTTTTATCTTCAGAATTCAAGAGATAGTAACCAAAGCCTTCTGGTTCCAGAATCCCACCTTTAGATACAGATGATACCAAAGAAAAGCCATCTGGAACTTGTTATGCATTTTTCAAAAACTGTTAAGAGTTACAAAACAAGCAGCAGCAGAAAACTGTTTTCTACCAAAAGTTTTGCACACAGAAGTTTTAGTGGCAAAATCAACTAGCTGAACATATAATGCACTTTTAAAGGTTTTTAACACTTGTTGTGTCATCTTTTTAACAAGACGTGTAGTTACAGGATAAGGACCAATGGCTTTAAACAGGGAATCGATTTATACTGTATATTAGGAAGATTTATTTTTTAAAAATAAGGAAGATGAGGCACCAGAACAGATTGCTCGGAGAAGCTGTGGATACCCCATCTCTGGAAGTGTTCAGACAGGCCGGATGGGGCTTTGAGCAGCCTGGTCTGGTGAAAAGTGTCCCTGCCCATGGCAGGGGGGTTGAACTAGATTAACTTTAAAGATCAGTTCAAACAAAAATCATCCTATGATCTCCACTCTTGTAATTCCCCACAGGCATTTTAGACTTTTAAAATGAGCACCTCAAAGTTTTCTCTTAAAGCTCTGTCCACGGCTGTGAGGATTTTTTACAAGCATCCTTATTAACCTCTTCAAACACTTTCCTTCCCTACTGTTCTCAGAAACCAAAAAACATCAGCCAGATATAGTTTGTATATTTTGGGGGGTTTACATCTATACACACACACACACGGAGTGTACAGTTATTACAGTATGCAATAACAAATACAAGAAACAGTGTTTTAACTCACTCTGGTTTCTAGTGTGGGCATGGATCTGCTGAGAACGCAGCTTCTGTGTCAGGCAGCTCAGCCTGCACTGCCTCACACAGCAGAAACATGATCCACAACTTCAGACTGTATCTGCTTTAAGATTCGTTGTCTTTTAATTTAAGGTGTCAAGCTAAACCTTTAGTACACTTTCAGCACGTTCTGCATTCCTACGTAACCTTGCATGCGCAACGTGTGTTGTCTTTAGGAGAGCGTCTTCAGACAGGTACACTCCCAGCAAAAAAACTACAAACTTTTTAAAGTTTGGGGCACGCAGGATCACTGGCCAAAGAACTTCACCTCCACATTACGGAATAAGGAGTGACACCTGCGAACAGATGCGCACCTGAAACTTCTGGACGCCAGAAAAGTCTGACTTTGCAGATGTGGCAGCTATGGCGAGACACCCACCCTGCGCCACATGGGCGACCCCGAGCACTCGGATAACACGGCCCCCCGCCAGTGGGCCGGGGGTGGCAGCGCGGCGCCGAGAGAGCGCAGCGCTCGCAGAGACAGCCCCGCGGCCGGACGGGCCCCGCGGGGGCGGCGGGCACAGCCCCGCACCGGGGACCGAACTCACCGCTCTCCTTGCCAGCCGCGGTGCTGCCCTGGCAGCGGTGCGGGCTCAGGAAGTCGCGGGCCAACTCCAGGTCCTGGAAGTGGGCGAAGGGGACGAGGGTGCAGGACATGCTCCCACTGCCAGTAGATCCACCGCCGCCACCCAACCCGGAAATGTTCGGCTACTTCCCTCCGGCCCGGCGCGGTCCCGCGCACGGCGCATGCGCCGTGGAGGGCGGGGCCCGAAGGGGAGGTGCTGAGGCAAGAGCGCTAAAGGCACCGCCCTCCAGGGCGCCCCATTGCGATGTTTAATCGCAGTTTCTGTGGAGCATTTCCTCCCAACGTCCGACCTGAACTTCCCCTAGCGCAGCTTGAGGCCATTTAATCTTGTCCTGTCGCTAGCTGCCTGGGAAAAAAGTGCCAGGGCCCACCATCCACAAGCTCCTCTCAAGTAGCTGTAGAGAACTATGAGATCATCCCTGAACATTCTTTTTTCCAGGCTAAACAACCCAAACTCCCTCAGTGGGATTTTACCATCTAGACCTAATATTGAATCAGCACAGCCCAAAACCCCCATGTTACTTTGATGAATAGCAAACATGGTTAGTGAGAACAGGGTTTCTTTCAGTCTTGACTGCTCTTGTAAATATAAAGCTTTTATTTAGATTTAATGTCAACCCATTTCTATTCCTTCTCTGAACACTGCAGCATCTGAGTGACAGCAGCAATTATGATGATTGAGATTTGCTGTGGAGTGACATCAGTGCAATGCTGACAGCTGACCTGCAGCCTCCAAAACCTCCTCTTCAGGTAAGGAGAAAAAAATGTGTGGGAAGAACATCAAGGGATGTTTTCTGGACCCCGAGGAAATAGAAATTCCCCTATGCATAAGACTTGACAAATTTTTAATGGCTCTCACTTGACTAGCCTTTATATGTGTACACACACATATATATATGTATATAAGAACTCTTTCTTGTTTTCTGACAGGGCTCTTTTATGTGATAGATAGCAATGTATGTCTTATGTAGCTAAAAGCAGATATAACTGAGAAAAGCAGAAATAACTGAGAAAGTCCAAGTTATTCTGCAAGTTTGGTTTGTGTTCTAGGTCTTCTATGTGTCTTTAAATACCTTCTAAGATTAAACAAATTTTTACTAAGAGAAGTTTCATGCCAAATGGGCTCCAGTTGGACTGTCCTAAAGGCACAGACTATAACAGGTTATAAACGCCAGAAAATGTCTTGTGAGATATGCAAAGAAACTGGCTTATATTTACCCACATACCTTTTTAATGTCTTCAGCTATACTGTTTTGTTGTAGTGATGTGCTGGTTTAAAATGCAGTGGGAAAGTTAACCCCACTGAACTGCATCTCCTCCTCCACTCTCTTCCAACAAGCAACAAAACACTAGCAGGAATCACAATTTTGCTGAAAAGCTTGTAATAAATGCAGTACCAATAAAAGAGGGCACAAAAGAGGCAATACCCACAAGAGGGTGTTCAGCATGGAACAAACACAAACACTTCCTGAAGAGAGAGAGCCTGGCATTGTTTCTTTTTGCTAGCTTTAATATAATTTCTTTGATATAGTGCACTATATTACCCTGTACTATACACTACTAGTAGTTTTAACTTTTGTATTGGTTAAGATCTTTAATCTAATAATATGCCATAATGAATAATTTATTCTATATCAAATATACCTGAGGTGGCAGCAATGGGACTCTGCAGTGGCCATGGTGGCTTTATCTGGGTGCTGAGGAGCCATGCAGTCCCAGCCTCTTCCACGAGCCTGCGAAAACATGAGGAGTTTCTGCTTCCAGATTTCCTGCTGATACCACAGCCCCACAATGAAGTAGGTAGTATTGAATTAAAGAGTGCTAGAAACTCCATCTATGGTCTTTTCCTCTGTACCCAGGACAAGTAATCAGGGCTCAGTAATTTTGCCCTTGGCAACTACAGGAACATTTTTGTTTACATTTGAAATCTGTGTCTCCTCAGGCAATACACAGGTTAGACTTGAATTTAAGCAGATGAATAATCCTGTGGCTATCCAGTAGAGAGTTGTTCAATCCTGTTTTTCTGAACAAACGTAGAATTACATGATGTGGAGTAATAGGAAGGATACTCTTCAAAAACAAGGTCACAATGTGGGAAAAGTTGAGACAAGAGGCTGGTGGATTTTCAGATACTCTAAGTAAAATTATAGAGCCTGTAAAGAAAACTATTTAATGATATTTTAGAATTGTAACATGCACGGTCACTAGTAATATCAACTGAATTAATAAAGAGTATGCAAGAAATTAAATTAACAACATGGTTTGTCATTCTTTAGTGAAGCTTTCATCACATTATCAAAATTTTCCTCATTAGAGAATAGTGAATAGTGTAAGACTGTCATATCCCTGCCTGGTTTGTTGTACATGAAGAAGTAAAGTTAAGAACTATGAAGATACCAATGAAAGCATAAAATAAGGCAATGAATACTCGGCAAATAAGCTGATATTTCAAGACAGTCTTGAGTACAGATAAACTCGTATTAACACTTTGCCTACACAATAACCCTTTGTGTGTTTTTTATAAGTTCAATAGTTCCTAATTTTTAATGATTCATTATACATATATGGATGGCTACAGAAAACAAAACTATGTTTTGAAAAACATCTGGCATAATTTTAAGCGAAGTTCCTAAAGACATTCAGATAAACAATTAATAGAAAATTTACAATACATTTCCAATAAGAATAATAATTTGCATTGGCATATATGCTGCTGAACAAAGCCCTTAATGCAGTTTACAAAAATAGGTAATTAGGCTAAATACAGATTTACACCATATGAAATGCAGGTAATGATTTGTTCAGGGTCAACACAAGAAATTACAAAAGGGAAAGGCTTCAAAAGGAGAGACAGTAGGTTTCGATTAGATATTAGGAAGAAATTCCTGACTCTGAGGTTACTGAGGCACCCACATGGGTTGTTGCCTGGAGCGGCTGTGGATGCCCCATCACTCAAAGTGCTTGAGAACCGGTTTCTGAGCCAGGGGCTGGGCAACAGCGCCTAGTGCAAGCTGTCCCTCTCTCCCAATGGCAGGGGGGTCAGACCTAGAGGATCTCCAAGATCCCTTGTACCCCAAACCATTCTATGGTTCTTTGATTCAATGTTGTTCCTCCCTCCATGACCACTGAGCCACAGATCCCCACAGTGCCCAGAACATGGAACCCACCTCTCCATGACATCAGTCCCGGGGTCAAGGGCACCACAGGCAGCGCGGCTGCTGCAGGCACTGTGGCTGTGGCTGTGCTGCTGCACGGAGCCCTCAGTGCTTGCAGCTGACACGTGCCTCTGGCAGCCATGAATTGGTTCAGCTTCCTCGTCCTGCTGACCATGGCCGGGCTGGCCCACAGTGTACAGAACACTTGTGGGTAAGTGGCCCTGAGGGAGAGCCACTGCAGCACTTGTGGCCTTCCCTGGAGGGTACCCGCCTGTCCCCCATGGCCAGGCCAGAGCACTGCTCCCTCTCTGCCTTGCCAAGCAGAGGTCTGACAACTGCTGGGCTGCTGTGGCACATGGCTCTGCTGCCTCTCAGCCCTCCCTCCATCTTCCTTTCAGGAAAATCGGCATCTTGAATGTCGTGATTGGGGCCACCCAATTGACTCAGCCAGGCCCTGGAGCACAAGTGCGCAAGATTAAGAAGCTATTTCGTCACGAAAACTATAAGAAAAGGGATATAAGTAATGACATTGCCTTGCTGGAACTGAATGAGCCTGTACAGTGCAGCTCCTACATCCAGGTGGCCTGTGTGGCTGACCCCACCCTGAGAGTCTCAGAGCTGCAAAACTGCTGGATTGCTGGCTGGGGTTCAACCGCAGAAGGAGGTGAGTTCCCAAGGGAGACTCTTACCTGCACAGCTAGGTCAGCACACTGGGGAGACATCTTACGCTTCCCCACAGCAGAGGCCAAACCCAGGCTGATGGACGTACGCATCTGCAGAGATGGGACTGGCCTGCTCCTCAAAGGCAGGCAGCAGGATCACAGCGCACCAGTGCCTCTGGAGAGGCAAAACTACCAAGGGAAGGGTAGCCTCTCCAGACAGGGGAGGGGGAGAACTGGCAAGGAGCTGCTGAGGTCTCATTCCGTTCTCTGCTCACATTTGAAGACTCAAGTGATGTCCTACAGGAGGCCAAGGTCCAGCTCATTGATGTCCAGCTCTGCAACAGCAGTGGATGGTATGCAGGGAAAGTCCACATCCACAACGTGTGTGCTGGTTACCCTCACGGCCGCATCGACACCTGCCAGGTAGGAGTGTGCCACAAGCCACTCAGCCCCCAGCAGGACTGGCAGCCAGGGCAGCACCGCCCCAACACAGCCCAGGGCCTGCTTTGCCCGGCCACTCAGTCACCCTCCCAGCCCCAGCTCCCCCCCGACTGTTTCTGCGGGGGAATGCCTGCAGATCCAAAGGCAATGCTCAGGGTCAAAACTCTGTCCTGACCACACTCCTCTCCTCTGTGCATGCAGACACTGGAGATTACTTAGTTGTTGAAGTAAAGTTGCCTATGGTCACAGGGAACCATGTTTTCAGTGCAATTCCAACTCCTGGGCAAAGTCAGTGCAATTCCAGCTCCTGGGCAAAATAAGGACTGCCACAACTAGCAACTGCAGAATGAGCCTGAGGGCAGATGTGCCAGGCACAAAGGGACAGAGCAGCTCCAAAGAGCTACTCACAGCCAGAATGCCTGGTCAGAGGGGGAGAGTGCCATGAGCCACCATGGGCTGGAGAAACTTGATACATCAAGCCTAGGAAAGGGATAGAAAAAAAGCAGACACCTTGGGGGTGGTGCTCAAATGCACATGGCCTGCAGATTAGGACCTGGTGTGAACCTGGTCTAAGGGAACAGTTCTGGGAAACTCCCAAGCATGACAAGGGAAACTCCTAGCTCCTGGCTGGAATGCCAGTACCCTAAGGCAGAGCCAGATTTCACAGGCAGCAAAGGGGCATTGATTTGCCAAGTGGTCACACTTCACAGATACTCAGAGGAAGTGCTGGGGTCATTCTGGGGAGAGGAACCTGGCAGGAACTGTGGAAAAGTACACCAGGAATGCCATGGAAGGCCAAGGTGAGTGGGCCAATACCACCTGCAACACCAAGGCTGTTGACAAATGCTCCAGCAGTGGTGCCCTTGTGTCCCATCTGGGCTGCCAAAGTGCTGAGGAAACTCCCCTGTGTGATCATTCTGGAGACACAGGTGACTCCAACGAGCTGATGGTTGCCCCAGCTGATTTCCTATTCACACTACTGTCACCCAGTCAGAGCAGGTTTCCGTACCCATTCAACCTCAGGATTCTCCCAGCAGACTCACAGATGTCATATTCCATAAAGAGCCCCCGCCCTCCCAGCCCTCTCTTCATCTGCTTTCCAGGAAAATTGGCATGGTATATCTGGTGATTGGCGCCACCCAGTTGACTAAGCCAGGACATGGAGCACAACTGCGACGGATTAAGAAGTTAGTGCGTCATGAACATTATAATCCAAGTGACAAAAGTAATGACATTGCCTTGCTGGAACTGAGCAAGCCTGTTGACTGCAATCCCTATGTCCAGCTGGCCTGTGTGGCTGACCCCACCCTAAACCTGTCAGAGCTGCAGAACTGCTGGGTGGCAGGTTGGGGTTCTACTGCTGCCAGAGGTGAGTTCCCAAGAGAGACTCCAGAGCCAGCTCAGCACACTGAGGAGAAAGCTTGCGCTTCCCCACAGCAGAGGCCAAACCCAGGCTGATGTATGTACACCTCTGCAGAGATGGGCCTGGCCCGCTCCCCAAAGGCAGGCAACAGGATCATAGCACCCCAGTGCCTCTGCAGAGACAAAACCATGCCCTAGGAAAGGGGATCCCCTAAAGCAGTGGAGCAGAATTGGCAAGGAGCTACAGGGGGATAATTCCTTTCTCTGCTCACAGCTCAAAACTCAAGTGATGTCCTACAGGAGGCCAAGGTCCAGCTCATTGATGTCCAGCTCTGCAACAGTAGTGGATGGTATGCAGGGAAAGTCCACATCCACAACGTGTGTGCTGGTTACCCTCACGGCCGCATCGACACCTGCCAGGTAGGAGCGTGCCACAAGCCACTCAGCCCCCAGCAGGACTGGCAGCCAGGGCAGCACCGCCCCAACACAGCCCAGGGCCTGCTTTGCCCGGCCACTCAGTCACCCTCCCAGCCCCAGCTCCCCCCCGACTGCTCTGGGGGCTTCCCACACACTCCCCATCCACACCTGCCTGCCCAGGACTCCCCTTGTGCCAGAAACCCCAAGAACCCAGCTAATGCTCCTGGTAGCAGAGGTCCAGGTGCCAAACATCCATCCTCTGCACATCCAGGAGTCCTGTGCAGAGACAATAGAGAGAGCCCTACCCTATAGGACCCCAAGCTACTCACAGTTAGATTTCTGGAGGCTCAAGCGCCTGGGTACAGCTCTGGCATGGGCTGTGGAAGAGATGGAGACAGCCCCAGTGCTGACAGGGGCCACCTAACACCACCTTAATCTTCTGTGCTCTGCTGCAGGGTGACAGTGGTGGTCCTCTCATGTGCCAGGACAACCATGCTGATTACTGGTGGGTTGTTGTAAGAAGGAATTCCGGATTGTGAGGCTACTGAGGCACTGGCATGAGTTTGTTCAAGGACTGCTCTCAAGCCAAGCTCTGGACACTCTGGACAACGGGGTCTAGTACAAGACCCTCCCAATCCCTCCCCGGGATCCCTAGTGCTATCCCTCCCTGCCCATGGCAGGGGGTTGGAGTTGATGATCTCCAAGATTCCTTCCAACCCAAACCATTCTATTTCTCCTTCATTTGATGTTGGCCCTCCCCCACTGGACCCCCTTGACATAGGCCACAGTGCTCAGAATACAGAACCCACCCCTCCATGACATCAGCCCCGGGGCCAAGGGCACCACGGGCAGCACGGCTGCTGTGGGCACTGTGGCTGTGGCTGTGCTGTTGTCCGGAGCCCTCAGTGCTTGCAGCTGACACGTGCCTCTGGCAGCCATGAATTGCTTTGGCCTCCTCATCCTGCTGACCGTGGCCAGGCTGGCACAGAGCATCCAGTACACCTGCGGGTAAGTGGCCCCAGACCCTGGGGGGGAGCCACTGCAGCACTTGTGGCCTTCCCTGGAGGGTACCCGCCTGTCCCCCATGGCCAGGCCAGAGCTTCCCACCCACCACAGGAAGCCTCAGCTCCTTGCCAGCAACCAGGTGCTGGCACGGACAGACGCACACCCCGTGGGCTTCCCTGGCCTGCTGTGCGTGCAAGCCCTTGTGGGGAGGGCAGAGGGCTGAGCTTCAGCCTGAGCCACAGCAGGCCAGAAGCAGCACGGAAATTACTTTCTGCTTGCAGATGGACCTGCGGCCTCCGACCCATGGTGTCTGACTCTGGTTACAAGAGTCGTGACTACGGCATGACACGCATTGTGGGTGGCACAGAGGCCAAGCCAGGAGCCTGGCCATGGATGGTCAGCATCCAGCATCCGAGGATACCAGGCACAAAGCATTTCTGTGGAGGGTCCCTCATCAGGGCAGAGTGGGTCCTCACAGCAGCCCACTGCTTTGACCTCATTTTGTAAGAAGGGGCAGGCAATGGGGACATCTCCACAACACCAGCAGGTGCCCTGTCAGCAGCACCACCTGCTACTCCCATTCCCTTTCCTCTCAGGCAGCCAGGTTGGCACACTGCTCAGGAGAAGCCTGGGCTTGTGCCAAGGCTTCCTAGCAGCCTCTAGCTTGACATTCCCTCAGCCTAAGTGTGTGAAGGCACTCACATCTGCCAGAGCACTGCTCCCTCTCTGCCTTGCCAAGCAGAGGTCTGGCAACTGCTGGGCTGCTGTGGGACATGGCTCTGCTCACTCTCAGTCCTCTCTCCATCTGCCTTCTAGTAACACCACCTTGGTCTACGTGGTGATTGGGGCCACCCGGTTAAGTCAGCCAGGTCCTGGGGCACAAGTCCGCCAAATTAAGAAGTTACTGCGTCATGAAAACTATCAGAGACGCGACATGAGCAATGACGTTGCCTTGCTGGAGCTGAGCAAGCCTGTCCAGTGCAGCCCCTACATCCAGCTGGCCTGTGTGGCTGATGCTATCTTAGGAATGTCAGTGTCACAAGAGCATAACTGCTGGATTGCTGGCTGGGGTGCCACCACTGCAAAAGGTGAGCTCCCAAGAGGGACTCCAGAGCCAGCTCAACACACTGGGGAGATGATTTGGGCTTCCCCATAGCAGAGGCCAAACCCAGGCTGCAGGACATACAGGCGTCTACAGAGACGGGCCTGGCCTGATCCCCAGAGGCAGGCAGCAGGGTCAGAGTGCCCCAGTGCCTCTTCAGAGTGCCCTAGGGAAGGGGATCCCCCACAGAAAATGGAGAAGAACGGGGAAGGAGCTGCTCGTGGCTTGTTTCTTTCTGTGCTCACAGATAAAACCCCAAGTGATGACCTCACGGAGGCCAAGGTACGCCTCATCAATATCCAGCTCTGCAACAGCACCTTCTGGTATTCAGGGAAAATCCACACCCACAACTTGTGTGCTGGTTACCCGCACGGCCGCATCGACGGAGTGACCAGCTGGGGAAAAAGCTGTGGCAGATCAAGGCGTCCCGGAGTCTACACCTCCACTCAGTACTTCTATGACTGGATTCTGGCCCACATGGGCACAAACAATGTTTAAAGTGCTTCTTGAGTACCAGGGCAGCATCCAGGGTGTGCCACAGTGCACAGCAATTGTTTCCTGCAGGGGCAATGCCTGCAGATCCAAAGGCAGCCTCAGAGTCAAAACCCTGCTCTGTCCTGACCACACTCCTTCTCCTCTGTACATGCATACACTGGAGTTGACTTAGTGGTTGAAGTAAAGTTACTAATCATCACCAGGAACCATCTTTTTGACTGAATTCCAACTCCTGGACAAGGCAAGGACTTCCATATTCCACACCTGCAGAATGAGCCTGGGGGCACAAAGGGACAGAGTGGCTCCAAAGTGCGGTACTGTACAAATTCACCCCAAGATTTTATACCCATTTATTCAACCCCAGAATTTTCATTTTGGGAAAAAAATAAATGGTAGGGCATCCTGCAACTCCTCATGAAGACATGTAGAAAGCTATTCTCTGTCACTGCAAAGCCAGTACCCCTTGTCCTATCAGCACATCTAACAATCATGGATTATCTGGAAGACTGTCCATGGTAAATCCTCCTCTCAGTCTTGTGCCCACTCTTAGGTAGGCTCTCTGCCCTGCTGACCTGAGGTATCATGGGCCTATTGAGCTAGGAAAAACTTCCCCTTGTGTTACCAATCCAAATTTATCTGTAACACCTTGATTTTGTAGCCTGATCCACCTGTTCATTGTTGCCTGACTCTTCAGCACGGGGACATCTACATGACAGACTTTAATGATCATCTTCTCTACCCAGGCATTGATGTCTTGCCATTCTTCAGCAGCCCAGACTGGTTTTCCTCTACACTGTATTTGGCCTTTTTCCACCCTTTCAGCCACCCCCAGACTGTTTGCTACCATCCACCAGTCAGTGTAGTGGTAGAGTGTTGTCCACTTCTCTTACACAGAAATGTCCAAAGCCAGCTGGGCTATTTTCAGCTCTGCAATCTGACCAGATCCACCTCATTCTTCAGTAGCTTCTGCAGCTCACAACATAGGGCTCCATACAGCTCTTTTCCATTTCCTACTGGTCACTACAGTACAGCAGAATCCATCAGTGAAGAGGATGTATCATCCTTCACTTTCAGGTCGCTGGTTATATGGTAGGGCTTCCTCAGCACATGTTACCTGCTCTTCCTCTTCTGATGATAATCAAAAGTTCTTGCCTTTGGACCAGTTTGTGATGACTGCCAAGATCCCAGGTCAATTTGGGTTTCCTATTCAAGCTCACATGCTATGAGGGTGATCCATTTACTCCAGGTAGCATCTGTGGCATGATGTATTGCAGGGACCTTTCCTTTAAATATCCAGCCCAGCACTGGTAGTCAGGGTACAAGAAGGAGCTGTGCTTCAGTGCCAGTCACTTCTGAGGCAATTCGAACCCCTTCATAAGCTGCAAGAATCTCTTTGTCAATTCAGGTGTAGCTGGCCTCAGATTCTGTATGCATGACTCCAAAACCCAAGAGGTCAGCCTCAGGTCTTCCCAGGTCCCTTCTGCCAGAGGCTCCAGGAAGGACCATTCTCCATGGCTGTGGTGTAGAGCACATTCTTCATATCCTGTCCTGTCCTGACAGGCCCAAGTGCTACTGCATGGGCAATCTCATGCTTGATCTGCTCAAAAGCTTGCTGTTACTCAGGGCCCCGGTCAAAATAATTTTTGTTTCGTGTCATGAGGTTGAAAGGTCTTACAATCTGGCTGTATTCCAGGATGTGCATTCTCCAAAAGCCCGAAGTGCCTAGGAAAGCTTGTGTTTCTTTCTTGCTGGTCAGTGGGGACATAGCACTTATCTTATTAATTATATCTGTTGGCATCTGTCTGCATCCATCTTGCCACTTCACCCTGTGAGAGACAACTGCTCACTTTGAAAATTTAAAGAGGTTTTTTAAACCTTAACAAAAATACAACAAAGGACTACATAAGAAAAAAGCTGCAGCACTAGGAACTGCTCCTCATGCATACCATGCAGCCAATTCATCTTCAAGATGGATGCTCAATCTTTTATACCCCTTGGGGTTGCATCAGCCAGCCCTGGCCCCCTCTAAAGTCTGTCAGTCAGCTCTTCTTTGCCATTTATCGGTGGAGTCTGCTTTCTTGTAACTTGATTGGAGGGTCAGGTGTTGTCATGCCCCACCCCCTTAGCAACAAGCTTTTCCATGCCCAACTGCCCCATGCAAGGGACACATCTGCACGCATTCTTTTTACCTGTCCTAGACCACCCCAGCTGTCTGATGGTAACAATACAGGGGGGCAAAGGGAACCATGGAGAGAACAGAGGACACCTAAACTACAATAACATAACTATACATCACTAAAGCTTTTCTTAATATTCACACAATAGTTATCCCTTAACTGCGAGAGCCAATCATCTCATTATCCATCTATAACAACCCTTAGGAAATTAATTTCCTGGGTAGGCCCCTTGACTTTACTTCATTTGATAGCAGAACCTGCTTCAGAAGAAGGCTCTGGATTATTCTCTCTCCTTTCTCATAAACATCCCCTGCCATGTTCCTTCATACAGTGATGTTATTGATGTAGTGAAGATGTTCTGGAGCCTCACTCTTTTCCCATGCAGCCTGGATCAGCCCATGGCATGGCTGATGTATCCACCCCTGGGGCAGTTGGTTCCAGGTGTACTGCACACCCCTCCAGGTGAAGGCAAACTGGGGCCTGCACTCTGCTGCCAGGGCAATGGAGAAAAATGCATTGGCAATGTCAATAGTGGCGTACCACTTTACTGCCTCAGACTTCAGCTTATACTGGAGCTCCAGCATGTCTGGCACGGCAACTCTCAGTGATGGTGTAAATTCATTTAGGCAACAATAGTCCACAGTCAATCTCCATTCCCCATCAGACTTGCACAAAGGCCAAATGGGGCTGGTGAAGCATGAATGGGTCTTACTGATCACTCCCTGGCTCTCCAGCTCACGCATCACATTATGTATGGGAATCACAGAGTCTCAGTTTTTGTGTATTGCCAATGATGTACTATAGTGGTGGCCACTGGTACCTGCTGTTCTTCTACCCTCAGGAGTCCTACTGCAGAAGGGTACTTTGAGAAACCAGGCAAGGTGTCTAAAGACAGAGGGCACTCCGTCTTCACAGCAGATATTCCAAAATCCCACCTGAGTCCTTTAGGGTCTTTGAAATAACCACTCCTGAGGAAATCTACTCCTGAAATATATGGGACCTCGGGACCAGTCACAATAAGGTGTTTACTCCACTCCTTCCCAGTCAACTGTACCTCAGCTTCCAACAGAGTCAACTGCTGCGACTCCCCTGTTGACCCAACAATAGAAACAGGTTCTGTCCCCACATGTCCCAGTGGTATTAAAGTACATTGTGCACCAGTGTCAACCGAAGCGTTGTATTTTTGTGGTTCAGTTGTGCTAGGGCATTGGATCCACACAGTCCAAATGACCCAATTTTCCCCAGCATTTACCTGGCTGGAGGCCAGGGCCCCTCTTGTCCTGGCTACCATTGACTCACTCTGCGAACATCCCAGAGGTTCCTTCAAGGGGAAGGACATATCATCGTCTCTTCTGTTATACCTGGCAGCTCATCTACAGGAAACTGTAGCTGCATTTCTTATGGTGCAACACCCGTGTTAGTAGTTTCCTCCTTTAGTTTACACACCTGTGCTGCCAGACAGAAATTAGTTTTCCATCCCACCTCATATCTTCCCCATGCTCACACAGAAAGAACCACAGGTCAGCTTGTGGGGTGTACCACCTCTCCCTAGCTGGGGCCATCTGCATCAGATAAAAGGGCATCTGCACTGTGCTGATGAGACTTAGAGAAGGTCCTCTTTCATCTCCTTCCTGAGTTTCTGATGGGTCTCTTCAGTCCTGTCTTTCACTTTCTGTATATGCGCCGCCAGGTGTGTTGCCACAGCTAAGATTTTTGCTTCTGTTGGGCCATGCACAGTGTCTTCATAGTACCAGAGCCTCTTTGTCCCAGCAGTACTGTCTCGTCCCTCTCCTTCCACTGCAACATTGCTATGACAGGGGTGTACATGTGTGGCTGGATTTGTGCAAGTTTGAGCCACATCACTGCCATACATTTTACGATGTCTGGACTCTCAGGGGTTTGTATTGGAACTTACCAATATTACTGAACGGGACTGCCTTTGGCCTGTCTGTCCTCAGCTGCTGACCAAATAGCGGCACCTGTGGTCCTTCCTCCCAGAGATGCTATTCAGTTACCTGTGGTCGCAGCTGGGCACATGGAGAGAAGTCCGGGCATGCCCCAAGCTCCAGCGCTTATGGGCTGGAGCTTGCTGTTGATGCAGGGTCACTCCTCAGGCCTTCCTGAGCTGGAGAAACCTTTAAGGCAAGGTGAATAAAGGAGTTGGTCCTGATGGAGAGTTTTTAATCCAGAGTTTTTATTTTGGGCATGGCCTCTGAATCCTGCAACAACTCCACCAAACTCTCCCAACAGAACCCCAGCCACATGGTCTGCTTTCCCTTTTACCTGGGGAGAGGGGGCAGGGGAGGGGACCACAGGGACCACCAACCAGGTATAAGGGGAGAGCGTCTCAGGTGAGAAGGACACCTGGGTGGGCCAGTGGCCCCCCAGGGGGTGGAGAGCATCCTTTGAACCTGCCAATCACTTGATGCTCCCCTTGGAATTTCAGGGTTGATAGACAATGCCCAGCAGGGGTCAAGGGTGGGGAAAGGAGAGGTGATTGACACCCCACCTGGGGAAGGAAATTTCAGGGAGAAACCAAGGGAACTGAGGTAAGCCATGACATCACACCATAACAGGTTTGGTCATCATCTAAGAAAAGGACCTCTAGTGCAGCTGGTTCAAGTATTGGGTTCCTTGCTCCATGGTCTTCCAGAGGCCTTGCTGCAGCTGAAGATCTGGGTTAAAGTATCTTTCTTTCATACTTGTTAAGAGCTGTGTCCAGAGGCCGAGAGGTTTACGCCTCCTTGCAATCCCCTGGTCAGTACATCACATGACAGAGCTCCAAAATGCCTCACTTCAATACCATCCAAAATTGTATAATAGCCTGCAGTGTCCCAG